GTGTTTGCAGAAATCTATAATAAAATATGATGCTTCCAAGCTACAGTAATGGAGCTACACTAATAGTATCAGAACTCAAATGAAGCAGTACTGCTTTTATCATTGTATAAGATAGAAATTCCTGCAGAATACTAAATCTGGTACAAGAGGACAGAAGAGAAGTAGATAAAATTTGGTGCCAGCAAATTGAATAAAATCAAATAAAATAAATGGTTTATCTAATCAAATATGTAGATAAATTGAGGAGGAGAGCATTCTTCTTCTAAAATACACTTAAAAGCAGCCTTTTACGTTAGGAAGAATTAAAATGCAATCTAAATGATAAACATCAGAAGTTGTAATTAAAACACTTAGTAAAGATTCCAGTCTACAGTAGTTTATTCAAAGCAAGTGTCTTTTGTTAATAGGCACTTATAATAATTATATAGAATTAGCACAACAAAGTGGCTACACTATGGAGGAAAAACATTTTTGGTTAAGTATATAGTTTGCCCCCCAACTCAGCCTACAACTCAGTAGGTCATATAGTACCTTTAATTTAGTTATTAGGTCCATATGCTTCATTTAATTACCTTGCCTCTCATAGTAATAGGAATGATTAAAGGGACTGAGAGAACCATAGTTCGGATAATAGGCGAAAGGGGAAGGTTAGCTGGTCGAAAAGGTTATCCAATTAAGTCAAACCTACTTTTTGTTGTTTATTAATGGAATAAATGTTAAGCTTTGGGTACAGAAGGAAAACTTTATGAAGCCTATTATCTGTTTTGATGGCAGAGATGTATCTTCAGGTGTTTTAAAGTTAGGCAGTACTGTGAAAAATGAAAGAATTATAAACTATTTAATTTCTGTGAAACCTTTCAGGACGAGCTGGACACTCCAGTTTCTCAGAACAGGACCAAGCTGATACCAAGGACATAAGCACTGAAAGCCCAGATAGAGGCTCTATTACTCCCCATCCTGACACAGGAGATTGTTAAGCAAATATGCATGGAAGGCTTTGCAAGAGTTGTTCAACATTTTGATCACTTCCAATGGGAGCTATTGTCCTCTTCCAACTCTTGAATAGAACACACTCATGACTGATTGCAAGTGCCAGAGGTATTGCTAATTGAAATAATATTTAAGCAATTTATTGAGCACAAGCAGATTGTTCTGGAGCAAGGACTTTAACACTCAATATTGTATACCTGAATTAGTCTTATGATACCAGGGAATAAGAATAATCACTAAGTCTTGCTGTGGGAGAACAGTCTTCAGTCTTGTATTGTCGAAGGCTTTCATGGCCAGAATACGATGGCTGGTGTGGGTCTTCCGGGCTGTG